ACGGGAGCCACCCAGCCCTGGACTTGGGTTTGCTGGTTGAGATGTATCGTTTCTCCTCTGTGCCCAGGAGTTTTCTGGGCAGACAGATCAAACCGGAATCTCCCACCTCAGGCCCATAGTCCATTCCAGATAGGGCAGGAGGAGACGGGGACGACAGAGGATGAGATGGCTGGATGGCATCACTGACTCAATGGACATGAGTTTGGGTAGACACCAGGAGTTGGTGATGGACAGGGAGGTCTGGCGTGCTGCAGTTCATGGGGTCGCAAAGAGTCTGCGACTGAACTGACTGACTGGGGGGCTGGGGGTGATACATGCCCTGCTGAGATGCAAGGGCTAGACTGAGGCTTCCAATTCTACAGCCCTTGGGCCCATGAGACCACCACCGGTGATATCTACTTTGTGAGCCACCAGAGGCACCGAGCAGATCTCTGCACGGAGGGAATGCAGGCCCGGTGGAGCCAGCTCATCCAGTTTCTCAAAAGAACCAAGAAATCTGGGACTTTTAGGTAAAAATGTTCTGACCTCAAAATGCCAGCAACTAATTCAAGATTTTAAAACTGTATAGCACAGGCCATAAAACACCTATCTGCAGATTGGACTCTATGGACAAAGTCCAGTTTGTAGGTGGCTAACCCCTGAGCCAGCATGGGCCTTCTTGGTGCCTGGGTGTGACCCTCCCCCAGCCCTAGCGCCCTCCATGGCAGTCAGAGCCACTCTGTATGATGTGTTTGGACGCTGCTTTCTTTGGCTATTGCCCCCATGATGCCAGGGGCCTGTACCTCTCTGGAGCTGCTGGAGACCTTCAACGTGCGGTCAATGTATTCCCTGGCCTTGTCATGGCGGCCCATGAGCCAGAGGAAGAGGCCAGCATAGTACAGGGCGGTCCCACTGGCTGTCTTGCGGACTTCCTTCAGGCTGCTCTCAAGCTCCTGAATTGCTTCTCGGTCTGGGAATTCGTGAGAGGAGAAAGAGGACAAGTTAGGACGGGGAGGTCTGTCTGGTCCTCTCCCTGGACACTCTGAGCCTCCCACAACACACGACAGCCCAGGGCCTGGGAACCAGCAACACCGGCCCCTGTGAGGCCACAGGAGCCACCCAGCCCTGGACTTGGGTTTGCTGGTTGAGATGTATCGTTTCTCCTCTGTGCCCAGGAGTTTTCTGGGCAGACAGATCAAACCGGAATCTCCCACCTCAGGCCCATAGTCCATTCCAGATGGGGAAATAGTTTGTACATAGTTTTGTGGAATCTCTCGCTGACCCTAGAGAGGTGGAAATTTAGGGGTAGAAACTTTTTATTTTGGCTTGTTTTTTCTTGATGAGATTTTGGCAAAGGCAAGCAGGGTGTCTCCCCAGTTCTTGGGATCTGAAAGGAGTACCCCTCCCACTGTCAGGCGTTCTGCCTGTGGCTCCCACTCAACCGGGCCTGGGCATGGGGTTATCTCTGAGGTCTCTGTGGGGACAGGACTGGCAGCCACTCCTCATAGCATCTGTGGCCAGGGGTGCATACACTTCCTGCAGCTGCCCAAGAGGGGGCTGTGTCTGGAGCAGGGCTCTCTTTTCCCCATTGGGCCAGGCTTGGCTGAGCATGCCTGCACTCACCAATGGTTTCACAACACTTGTGAGCATAAATGAGGGCCATGATGGAGCACAGGGACACGTCTGGGTGATTCTGGATGCTCTCCAGGCTGCTGATGGCATCCTGGATGCGCTCTGTGAAGAGAACCCACATGGTTATTATGCTCAGAGGGCAGGAGGCTCCACGGCAGACCCAGGGCTGACTCAAGGCTTGGTGTGATCTGACCCAAGGCTTGGACTAACTGGTCCACAGGCCCCTAATGGCCCAAGTTCCCTGAAGACTGAAGCTTCCTGAAAGCACTGCTGGCACCATGGTCTGCGTGGCCAGGGGATGGAGGACTTGGAGCTGAGAGATGTTCCTGTGAGTACTTGCAAGGATACCCTGGATCAGTTTTGAAGAAGGACCTCTGGGCATTCCCAGCTAGCTATAAAATATAACCCCAGAGCCACTGACTATATTTATCCTTCCATGTCCACTGACATTGGCCATGGGTGGCCCAGGACCACCTTCTGAATGTCAGTGAATTGTTACTGCAGGGGCCCTACTCCTTTCTCTGCTTCTGTCCCACACATGATTGTGCCCACACCTGCCACTCCCTCCTTTTCCTGCATTACCTGAGGCTGGTTCAGTAATCAAGCCTGGGGTTGGTTCAATAATCCAGTGGTCATTTCTCCCTCCAAACTCATTTTATAGACAGGGAAACTGAGGTGCAGAACAGGGAGAGAGAGCTCTCCAGTTTTGAAAGTCAACTAGATATAGATTACACAGATTTCTGTGAATTAACCTGGAAATCTAGCCACTCTGTGTAAGACTGTTTCCAGGGGAACATGACTGGGGTAGAAGTAGCCATCCAGGTGGAGTCGGTGCGTTACTGCTGAGTGAGGGCCCAAGGTCAGGAGGCAACACTGATGGGTCCTCACCTTCCCCGAGGACTCCATAGGCTTTAAAGAACTGCAGCACTGGGTCATTGTTGAATTTTTCCAGGCCAACAGCTGCGGCCTGCTGCACGTGGCGGAAGTACTTTTCTTTGCTGTAGTAAATGATCCCAGCCTGCAAGGAGGAAGGCAAAATAGCAATAGTCTCAGGCCCATGTCTCTGATCTGATCTTCTCCCTCCCCTATTCCCTGCTCCTCCTCCAGTTCTGTAAAGAGAAGAGAAAGAATATTCTGGTCTCATCTTGTTCCTCCCCAGGCACAGAAACAGCTCCATATGGTTTTCTTAGGAAAGAGTTTGGAGATGGCTTGTTTTGCAATTAACCACAGATTCTGGTTCAAAAGTTGATGAGAAATTCAACTCAGGTTTTGCTTATGAAGGGAATAAGGGGGAAGGAGGAGGACCAGTAATAAGAATCATGACACCAATAGTTAGAATTGTGAGTTATTGTGGGCTAACCACCTGTGGTGAAGGGTATAAGGGCTTTACGCCTATTATCTTATGTATTACTCTCTCCATATTCTTCACAATTAAGGAAGCCAAAGCCCAAGGAGGCTGTGGCTTGACAAACATCATGCAATAAGAGAGGCTGGGATTTCAAAGTGAAGTCTCACTTCCCCTAAGGTTTGTGGATGCTGGGGTTGGGGATAGATGTGGTTGGAGTGTAAACAGCCTTGTGGGCCATATGAAAGAGCCCAGACATCATCCTGAGGGTAATAGGAAGCAGCTGGAATGGTTTTACGCATGGGGATAGCGGGGGGTAGGGCAAATGTTCAGATGTGTGTTTTTGCAAAACCCACTCTGGCTCCTGTGTGTGTGTGTTGGGGTGGTTGCTGTTGGTGGTGGTGCTTGTAGGGAGACCGCTGGTGACGAGAGATGAAGTAGAGAAACCAGCTGGGAGGGGGACTGTTGCAGGTGCCCAGAGGGGAGAGGGTGGTGATACTCGGCTAGGAGATAAAATAAGGCTGATATTTTTTACTGATAGACAGGAGCTGGAGATGGCGCTGTGGGGAAGAGTAACGACTGGGGGGTCAAACGGTGGTGCCATCCACTAGGGTGAAGGACACAGAAGACGTACAGGCGGTTGGAGCCGGGAGTGGGGTCGGATAATGGCAAGGTGATGGACTTTTATCCTTTGGTTTGGGGGAGCTCGGAGATAAGACTGGGTGGGGATGATGGCTAGGGGCTCAGGGTACACAGGGAACACTAGACAGGATGTGCTCGCCACGGAAAGAGAGGCGAGAAGGCGCCAAGACCGTCTGAAGAGGCCGGGGACAGCGAAAGCCGGGTGGCGGCCAGAGAGGTAACAGGGGAGCTGCAGGTCGCGGGGCTGACTGGTCCAGAGGAGGAGCAGTGCCCGGGTCACGCACCATAAGGGAGGAGTCATTGTCGCTCATCTCTGGGCGCCCGCGGCTCTAGAGTCGGGGTCTCGTGGTGCCGCGCAGAGCGAGATTCCCAGGTCAGGGTCCTGGGTGCGCTTGTCGCGGCCGGAAGTCGGAGGCTCGCGCGTCCTTGGAAACAGAGCAGCTGGCTGCTCTCTAAGGGCGTCAGAGTTAGGGGTGGGCGTGGCCAGGCGCCCACGTGACAAGGCGCGGGTAGTCGAGCGCCGAGAGGGCGAGTCCGTGCTTGGGGCCCCAAGTTGGGCCTGCCGGGTAGGCGTCGAGGTCCCTGGCACCGTCGCCCGAGCTGACCGTGGCTATGGGCCTGGGCGCCAGCACCGAGCAGCCTGCGGGCGGCGCCGAGGGCTTCCACCTGCACGGGGTGAGTCGCCCCTGCGGCGCTGGAGGTCTTGGCGCGGCACCCGCTCCGACGCGCGGGAACGCCGGATCGCCGGCCCGGGGGCGGCAACCGCGGGGTCTCGGCCCTGGGTGGCCTCCCCGGGGGAGGGTGGTACCCCTTCCCGGTGGGAGCCGTCGCCGGAGAGAAGGCGCCGTGGCACCCCGGGGTCCCGGCCCGCCTGCGGCCGCGGTCGGCCCGGCGCCAGCCCCGAGTGCCAACTCTGCAGGAAGCGGGAGCGTTTCCTGGTGGAGTCGGGCAGCTCCGGAATGGCACTTGTCCCAGGTGGAGAGTGAACGCACCAGGTTCAGTCAGGAGAATTCGTGCACTTGTGTGAACACATTGACGATCGCCTGCTGTGCACTGCGCTCCATGTTGGGCCTGAGGAGAGAGCCAGCTCAGCCCAGTCCCCGGCCGTCTTGGATCCAGGGAGTCGCCAACTGCCGGGGAGCCCGCCGGCTCTCATCCCACGCTTCTTGGGGTCGAAAGGCTTCGAGAGGTCGAAGACCAGCGAGAACCACACAGGGAAAGTGGGGGCGGGAGAGCAGAGAGAATGCGGCAGAGGGCTCGGGCATAGATTTGCTGCAGGGGGATGGTCCCCAGGGGAACACTGCGGAGGAGCGCGGCAGGGCCTCAGCAGAGCAGGAGTTATCCGTGTTGCCACAAAGAGGTCTGGGTGAGCAGTCCCGAGGGAAGTGGAGATGGAGTGAGTTCCAGGGCCTGAAGGTGGGGAGAAGGGTCCGCAGACAGAGATGTGGGGTGATCAGTACCTCGGAGAGGGCGGGGCTGTAACGGAGATGAGAGGGTAGGTGGGTCTCTGTCTCCGGAGCGCGGGTGGGCCAGACTCCCTTTTCCCTTGTGCCCAGATGGATGGCTGCAGAGATGGGCCTGGCTTGTCAGTTTGGTGCCTTGCTTTTGAGTGGTCTCTATTATTGTCATTAACAACTAGGCGGTGGAGTGTTGGGGAATGAGAGTGGGGACTGAAGAGGTTTGCTAAAAGGAAAAGCAGAATGGCTCCAGGACCCAGAGGTAACAGGATTTGTGCTTGCTGATAGGCTTTCCCTAGTGGACACCATGGTGTGGTACCAGACGGAAAAAGTGGACAATGAAATGCATCCAGCCAGAAGGGTCTTCCAACAGGTTTGATGGAAAGCAAGTTAAGGCTGTTGGCAGGGGCTGGGGGTGGATGGTAAGAGTGAAGATAAGAAGGGCCTGTTGGAGAGGGACAGAGTGGAAAGTTTGAGGAACTGGGTCTTCATTTACGAAACATTTATTTTTTTCATTTCATACGTGCAGCTTTATTTTTTTAATTGAAGTATAGTTGTATAATTTTATATATGCATACAATATAGTGATACACAATTTTAAAAGGCTGTGCTCCATTTATAGTTATTATATAAAAATATTTGCTATGTGCCCTGTGTTGTACGATATATCCTTATAGCCAAAAACAGTGCCTTTGAGTACATACGCTGTGGCATGTAGATTTCCGGGCACTGGAGATAAAGCAGTGAGCAGAAGAGACATTGTCCCTGTTCTTATAGAGCTTACATTTGGGTGCCAGCTGGGAGAGAAGGGAGCAGACTAGAAACTGAAATGTATGGTAGGTGGTGACCGTTGCTGGAGAGAAAAATAAAGCAGAGTAAGGGGTCCAGAGTGATGTGTGGGTGCTGTTTTGGATAGAGGGGTCAGGAAAGGCCTCTGATCAAGTCACGTTTGAGCCAACACTCAGAAATAAGAAGTGGACAGTAGGCAAGGTGAAGTTTGTCTGGTCACTCTTGCAAATAAGTACCCTACATAGCTTTTTAATCTGCTTGATCATTTTCTTTCCTTCTTCAAGTCATTGGTCTTTAATAGTTCCACGATAAATTTTTTCCTGTTATATGTATATATGTATATATCTATATACATACACATAGACATGTGGGGGAAGAGTGTTCAGGGCGGAGGGAGACGCTGAGGTGGGATTATGCTACTGGGCTTGAGCAGTGAGGAGGTGGGACTGGCGTGCTTAAATGGCCAGGCCCTTGTGAGGAGGGTGGGAAAGGATGAGGCCACATTGTGTGGGGCCTTGTGTGTCGTCCTGGGGGTTTAGGATTTACTGCTGAGGTATGGTACCATCAGGAGGTTTTAAGTAGAAGTGTAGTGTTGCCTCCTTAATAATAAAAAGAAAACCGAACAGAGAACAAGTGGGCTTTCTCTGACTGTTGGCCTTCCCACAGTGTGCAGAGCACGGGGGAGAAGTCATGCCCTGGGCAGGCTGTTACAGGGCTGTGGGCAGGAGCAAGCTCTGGGGCGGATTTCCTGGGGTCAGGCTGTTGAATAACTGAGAGCTTTTCCTTCCCTGTCAGTTGGGGGTTAGTGAGCCGGTTAAATGACGGGCGGGTAAGCGGGTGGTGCACTCGCCTGGCACCTAGCCAATCCTCAGAAGGTGTAAGCTGCCATCGTGCGGTTAGTTGCTCCAGGTGCCCTGATGGGAGATGGGGAGAAGGTTATGAAAGCAGCACCCGTGATAGGCTGTGGGGTTGGGGGTGTCAGGAGCCCCCGGGAGAAAGCCAGACAGAGGGGGCGCTTGCTGCAGGACTGGGGGTGTGGTGGGCGGCATCCCAGATGATTTCTGCTGTGGAGCCATAGCGGGCGACGACAAGGCCCAGGCCAGGGCCCAGGCTTCAATCTGGTTACTCTGCGATTGGAGGGCCTGGGGAGTGGCAGAAGCCACAGGGACTTCCCCTCAAGCAGGCATCGAGAACCTGAGGCCGCCTGAGCCCTGGGGGTTGGGGGCCTGGTTGACACTGGGCTTCAAGTGCTCACAGCCAAAGGCTGGAGGGCGTGGGTCCCACCTTCCATCCAGAACGGGGGACAAAGGCTGCATTGTCTGAGTGAGGCTCTGTGAATGGGGCCTTTGAGATGGATTTCCACCAGAGCTGCAAGCCTGGCTGTTGTGCTTTTGGAGACAGCGGGGAGTCTGGGAGCGCAAGGCAGCACTGGAGCACCCTTGGGCTGGGACTTACTCCTGGAGGGGCTGGCCTGCATGGGGAGGTTGAATGGCAAAGGGAACTATGTGCTGCTCACCAGGCTTCCTGGCTCAGGCTCAGGCCCGACCCCGGGGTCTGTTCTCCTCAGCCAGCCTTCCTCAACCCTGCCTGGATCTGTCACCACAGGGTCAGGGGCGCTCTGGGATCTGGCCGCAGGCTGTCTTCCCCACTGCTGTCTTTCTGGGCGCGACCCTGGGGCACTCCCTTCCTGCCCACATCTGAACCTTTCTGGTAAACCTTCCTGGCTTTCCAGTGGCCCCAGCACAGGCCTCTGGGACAGCATCTGAGTCACCCAGCCTCCCCATGGCCTCCTGCCCTGGGCTCGTCTGTGAGGCTGTTTGGAAGCATAGTCTGTGGATCACGATCTGGAAACAGTTGTTTTCTGAAAGAGGAAAACATAAGCCCAGGAAAGTAGCGAGAGAGGATGGAGTGAGCCTTGACTATGCCCATGTGCGGCCCGCCTGGAACAGTTCACCCTGGGGTCTGTGTCCTCTTTGGGAGGGGGGGGAGTGGGGTGGTTTTTCGAACTGAGAGCTGGGGGTTTCTGGGTGAGTCCTGGGGTCAGCGCAGTGACCGCAGCCTCCCTGCTGCACAGGTGCAGGAGAACTCGCCCGCCCAGCAGGCCGGCCTGGAGCCCTACTTCGACTTTATCATCACCATCGGGCACTCAAGACTGGTGAGGCCCCTCTCCTGTCTCTGCTGTGTGTGTGTGTGTGTGTGTGTGTGTGTCTGTCAGACTGCTGCTGTCCCATGGGAACCCCAGCCCTGCCTGCCTTTTCTGCTGGAGGGAGACCAAAGCCCATCTCCCCTTCTTCCAGGGCAACACTGAGCCCGATGGGGGCCCTGCCTGGAGTTTAGCTCTTGGGCCCTCTGGGGTGGACCGGAGGCAGGGGGACTCCTGGCACTGTCCACAAAGCCTCCAGGCCTGCCCAGAGGAGTGAGGGCTCTGGAAGGGGCCTCTCAGAGTGGGCCGCGCGGCAGTGCTCTGGATTCAGGGGGCTCTTTGCTTACCCTGTGGTGTTTTCTGGGGGGCCTGAGGGAGGAAGGTTTAGCAGGGCTTAGGGATGCTGGGGGTCCAGTGGCTGCAGGCTCAGCTCTGACCTGTGGACCCAGCCCTGCACCAGGTGTCTCGGGGGCAGCTGGCCCCCAACACCCTCACCCTATATCAGACCCAGACTTGTCTGGGGGGCCTGGCTGGGTGTTGGGGGTCACTCCGGGAGTCAGCCCTGCTGCCCCTACAGAACAAGGAGAATGACACTCTCAAGGCCCTGCTGAAGGCCAACGTGGAGAAGCCAGTGAAGCTGGAGGTGTTCAACATGAAGACCATGAAAGTACGTGAGGTGGAGGTGGTTCCCAGCAACATGTGGGGTGGCCAGGGCCTGCTGGGCGCCAGCGTCCGCTTCTGCAGCTTCCGCCGGGCCAGCGAGCACGTGTGGCACGTGCTGGTGAGTGGGGGCATGGCGTGTGGGATCACTGGGGCGGACAGTGGGGTGGGTGTGTGGGGAGGCCTCCTAGGAAAGGCCAGCAGCCAGTGGTTCTGTCAGGGGACTCTGAGGGCAGGGTGTGGTCTCCCTGTTCCAGGGTCCCAGAGAGGGCAACTCCTCATCACCTGCACAGGACCCTCTGACTTTGGGTGGTTTCTTACACTCTAGACCTTGGTTTCTTCTTTGGAAAGATGGGGCCGCCATCTGCTGGAAGGGTCCTGTGCTGCCAGAATGCTGGTATTATTGCTTTGTATTGTTTAGTCACTAAGTTGTGTCTGATTCTGCAACCCCGTGGACTGTAGCCCACCAGACTCCTCTGTCCATGGGATTTCCCAGGCAAGAACACTGGAGTGAGCTGCCATGCCCTCCTCCAGGGCATCTTCCCGACCCAGGGATTGAACCTGTGTCTCCTGCGTTGGCAGGCAGATTCTTTACTGCTGTGCCATCTGGGAAATCCTGCCACTGCTTTAGTCCTAATCTAAAACGAAGTGTTTTTTTCTGGTCTACTCTAGGGTATACCAGTACTATGTTTTGGGGGGCGGGTCACCTGAGAGCCCCTGCGGGCACTCGACTGGTGCTTGGGGTCTGAACCTTAAAGAATCTCCGTGACTGAGTTGTCACAGCTGTTGCTGTTCATGTTCGCTCACAGACGTACATGCACACGTGACATGCACAGTCACTGGTTGTGCCCAGGTTCTCGAATGCTCAGTCCTGCAGCTTGATGGATGGAAGGAGCCCTGAGCTAGAAATGGGCTGATGTGGTGTCTGGTTGCTTCTGTTGCTCACTGACCCCTTGGGGGAGTCTGCTCAACCTTTTCAGCTGGCCTTATTCAGTTTGTCCGTGAGTGCAATGTGGGAGTGGTGATGCAAATCCTTCCACGTTTCTTGGGAGACTGGGAGGTGGAAGTGGAAGTTTCCAAGGGAGAAGGCAATCCTTGCACCTACTTCTCACCACCGTGCTTTCAACCTCCCCCCTACCCTGAGATCTTCAGCCTCATACCTGTAGCAGTAACAGCAATAAAGTGGGGCGTTTACTGTGGGACAAGCTGTGGTTTCATTCTGTACATGTGTTTTTTTTTTGGTCTTCTCAGCAACCTTTTGCCTAGTACTACATATCCTACTTTTAAGTGTGGGGAAACTGGGGCAGAGGGGTCAGGTGTCTGTCTACAGCGCCCCAGCTAGCAGCTGGGGGAGGCTGGAGTTGGATCCGGCGCAGCGCTGCCCTCTGCTGGGCAGACTGTGGACTGCGGGAGGCAGGGGAATGAGGCTGGGCTGGGCGCGTCTGGGTTTGAGGTCTTGGCCTGGGGACGGAGGACAGGTCCACTACTCACCACCGGAAGACACAGCTGTCCACGCGCTGCCCCCAAGTGGCAAGACTGACAGTTGGGTAATTCGTGATTCTTTTTCCTCAGGATGTAGAGCCCTCTTCACCTGCTGCCCTGGCGGGCCTACGCCCCTACACAGACTACGTTGTGGGCTCGGACCAGATCCTCCACGAGGTGAGGAGGGGCAGGCTTCCCTCCCCTCTCCCCCGGCCCGCTGGATGGGGTGCTGTCCGTGGGAAGTGTCTTGTCTTGTGAGGCTTCCCATCCCAGAGTGGGAACAGGGCTTAGGCGCCTTCTGTCTGTCGTAGTCCGAGGACTTCTTCTCGCTCATCGAGTCCCACGAGGGGAAGCCCTTGAAGCTGATGGTTTACAATTCTGAGTCCGACTCCTGCCGGGAGGTGACTGTCACCCCCAATGCAGCCTGGGGTGGAGAGGGCAGGTACTTCCTGGGGTCGGAGGGCGGCGGGGTGGGGCTCTGGGGGGCGCCTGGCCAGTGGGCATGGACCTTGAGTCCCACGGTGGGGGTGGAGGGCAGGGCCCTGGGCCCAGGGGTCCTGAGGCTGCTGTTGGTCTAGGAGACACCTCTCATTGCTGGGGGGTGGGGGTGGCAGGGGTAGGAAGGGCTGTGGGACAAGCCCAGAAGGGTGTTTCTGGCCTTTGGCAGCCTGGGCTGTGGCATTGGTTACGGGTATCTGCACCGGATCCCAGCCCAGCCCCCCAGCCACCACAAGAAGCCGCCCGGTGGCCCGCCGCCCGGTGCCCCGCCGCCTGGACCCGCCCCTCAGGACTCTGCTGCTCCTCTTGGCCTGGAGACAGGCTCCAAACAGGGTGACTACGTGGAGGTACGTGGCCAGCTGGGGCAAGAGGGGAGTTTCATGTGGGCAGAGGGGCCTGCAGCTGGGAAAGGAGGAGACTGGGGCTGTCCTCACCGGGAGCCTGTCTGTGGAGCCCCTGGGAAGCCCCCCGGCTTGTGGGACCCAGGGGGAGCAGATGGGGCCGGTCCCGGGACCGTGCAACCTGCTTCGGTTTTCCTGCCACTTGGGTCTGCAGGTGAGGGGAGTGCAAGGCACTGGTTTTCATTTTGATTTCATGACTGGGAAACTGAGGCTCGGGGTGGGCAGAGCCTTGTCCTCTGCCTCCCTGAGTCTGTCAGAAAGTTAGGCCAGCGACTGTGTCTGGCCCAGGTGCCTCTGGGCATCAGGCTGGTGCCTGGAGTCTGCATGCGGGCACTCGGGGACTACTCTCCAGGCATGGCCTATGCCAGGGGGTCACAGATAGGGCTGCTCAGCAGAGTGGGAAGGGGACCCCAAGTCCATGTTGGCACCTCAAGGGAGGTCAGCTAGGCCCCTCTTGCCTGACTACACATCTGCTATAGAGGAAGCAGTAGATCCCCAAGGCTGTTTGCTCCCGTGAGCTGAGTGGTGCTCCCAGGGTAGGTGTGGGCTAGGGGTTAGGCTGGACTAGCCCTGTCCTGACAGACGCCTCTGATTCCTCTTTTTCCCCGGCTCCCCTTAGGCCTTGCTGCAGGCACCTGATTCCTCCACAGAGGAACAGCTCCCTGGGCCTGAAAGTCCTGGCCAGGGCGCTCAAGACCTCGGGGACCTGCCCCGTTCCACGGAGACCCCTCTGCAGCCTCCGCCTCCACTGCAGCGAGTCATGGACCCAGGTACCGAGCAGGCCGGGAGCAAGCTGAGGGCTGGGCGCTGGCAGCTCTCTCGTACCTGCCAGGCTAGTCGCAGATGATGTGATCAGTGTACGGATGGGGGGGCGGCTCGATCACACAGCACTCAGAGCACAGGACAGGGGCAGCGCCCTCTGCCGCTGGGCTAGTCCTGTGATCACCCAGCCCAGGCGCCTTTCCTTCCTCAGAAACCGGCTGTGGGGAGCCTCTGGGGCTGGCTGGGGCTTCACAAACAGCTGAGGTTTCCTCAGGCCAGGCCAGATGCCCCAGAAACTGGGCACAGTGAGCCTGAGGCGCTGGCCTTCCAGCAGTCAGGGTTCTGCACTGACAGAATCGTGTGCCTCCCCCCAGGCTTCCTGGACGTGTCTGGCCTCTCCCTTTTGGATAGCAGCAACGCCAGCGTCTGGCCCGGCCTGCCCTCTTCTGCAGAGCTGACCCCCCCTGCGGTCTCAGCCTCAGGGCTGGAGGACGTCTGCTCCAGCAGCGGTTCTCACGAGCGTGGTGGTGAGGGGGCGGCCCCTCTGGGAGGGACCCTGGGTTGTGGCGAAGGCGGCCCCGAGTCTCTTAGCCGGTTAGAGGCTGGCCTGTGGGAGAGGGCAGCCACATCAAGGCGCTCGTATGCTGGCGCCCCCATCCCGTCAACACGGGGGGCGGGAGCTGGGGGTCAGTGGGGTGACTGCCCCAGGCCACACTGGCCCCGGTTCTGTGGGCCTCCTCAGCTCCACCCTGTTTGTTTCAGGTGAGGCCACCTGGTCTGGATCCGAGTTTGAGGTCTCCTTCCCAGACAGCCCCGGCGCCCAGGCCCAGCCAGACCACCTGCCTCAGCTGACCCTTCCCGACAGCCTCACTTCTGCCGCCTCACCCGAAGACGGGCTGTCTGCTGAGCTGCTTGAAGCCCAGGCGGAGGAGGAGCCAGGAAGCCCAGACTGCGGGGTGGAGGCTGGGGGGGCTCCTAGCCAGGCCCGGCTCTCCACTCCTGAACACCACTCCGGGCTATGACCAGGCCCTTTGATNCGGAGGAGGAGCCAGCAAGCCCAGAGAGCCCAGACTGCGGGGTGGAGGCTGGGGGGGCTCCTAGCCAGGCCCGGCTCTCCACTCCTGAACACCACTCCGGGCTATGACCAGGCCCTTTGATGGCGTTTCATGAGGCCTGGAAGCGGGAGGCAGCTGAGGCCACGCTGTGTGGGGGGCCCCTGTTTTAGTGCTTCCTGGGCTGAGGGAGGCCCTGAGTGCTGGGCAGTGTCTTCTGCTGATTGTGGGGGGCACTTTTGTGTCCACTCAGACCCTACTGGTCTCCAAGAGACAACCTGCAGCAGTCATTCTGCCTGATGGTCCTGGCTTTGGGGAATTGGGCACTTGTCTAAGAATCTCAAACAAATACTTTTGGCGTAGCAGGGGGCTGGGAACAGCACCAGGTTAAGTAAGTTTTCCAGAAGCTGGGGTAGGAGAGGGTTCTTTGCTGCTTGGGTCGGGCATGGAGCTTCCATTGGTAGAGGCCATGGGCCTTGCGGAAGGACATCTTTGGGTCACGTGCCCATTGCATGTTCCTGCTCCAGTCACTGTGGCTACACGGCAGGTAGCAGAGTCCAGGCACCACCAGGTGTGAAGATGGGGTGAGGGAGGGAGGGGTTGTGTGGGGTGTTTGCCTAATCCTTCCTTAGGGCTTGCCTTGATTCTTTCCATTACAGACAGCCTATCTGTAATGGAGGGCACCCCCAAACCCCGGGGACCCCTGCCGCCCCATTTACTGTCTCACCCTGTGCTGCTCTGCACAGCTGGCGCAGGCTGACCACATATTCCCGTGAACCTGCCCCCTTCTCCTGAGGGACAGTTGGAAATTCTAGGCCCTTCAGCAGAGACTCACCTGTGCTTGGGCCATGCTGCTGCTGCTTCCTGAGCATCCACATCTAACGCACCTGGTGTCCCCAGATGGGACACCTGTCAGCTCCCAAACTTTTACAGCCATCTCTTTTAAATATGCGAGTCATCTAGCCACCCTAGTGGTGAATAAAAGTTAACAAATTTAGGTTCACCATCCTAAGCAGGCCCTCAGAGCCAGTCCTCCTGCCTGGAGCTCTTCACACACAGCTCCCATCCCAAGCAGGGATGAGGCGCCTGGACAAGAGTGATTAAGGGCCCTCTGTTATTTTCCACAGGACGGGAGGGGGCTGTTCCCCTCTCCTCCAGTGCCTCGGGAGGCTGAGACTGGGTTGTGTGTCTTGCTCTGCCTAGGTTCCCACAGCAAGAGGAGGGCTCCGTGCAGGGGTGACCCTTATCACTTGAAGTCCTCTCCTCTGGCCAGAGTCCCTCACCTTCCCACAGCCCTTGCTGATCACCGTGAAAGCAGCCTCCAGCCTGGCCGTCTAGCCTCAGCCCAGTCGAAAGTCTCACCTTTACCATCTGATTTGGAATGTGTGCCCTTACAGGGCATTCAGAGCTCTGTTAGGCTCACAGACGGGCCCAGACCAAAGATATGGAGGGAGTCTGCTCTGGCGGGCAGAGACCAAAGATATGGAGGGAGGGCCCCACATCAGGAAACACCTCACGTTCACTGCACTGTGACTGCATGTAAAAAGCAAAGTCTTGTCAGGTCCACTAGAGCAGCTGATAAGCCTGCAGAGTAGGGAGGCATTGTGTCCAGAGGCAGTGCCAGAATCTGGTTCCTGGGTTGTCTGGGAGCCCAGTGTCTGCCTGCAGGAATCCAGAAGTAGAATCAGGCGAGGCCTGTTCTGAAGCCAGTTTCCCTTCACTAACCTGGCGGCCTGACCCAGAGTCACCCTCACCCAAGGGACCTGGTTCTTCCGCCCTCACGTTAACACAGTCCCCTCCCTAAACTGGGGGCTAAAATGGATATCAATGCTAATTATTTCCAAGGTAAACACAAAACCAGAAGTTTCTTACTTTTTCTGTAATCTGCTATGAAGGAAAATGACAAGTGGAAATAAATGTGTACTGTACACTTTGAAATATTTTAACTAAAGCCTTTATTCTATACAACTGTGAAATACAGATTTTTACCCTTTTGGCATTGCAGACTGTCAAATCTTCTGGAAACTATTACGGGTTTGACTGGAACAACAAAAAAAACACAACCATGCTGGGGCAGGGGTGTCAGATCTAAGATGGGAAGGGAGCACAGCCGCCCCTCAAGACTCGGCACACGGGGCAGCACGGCCCAGCGAGACCCATTCCTTCAGCCCAAGGGCCCTTCGTGCAAACAAAGCTGAGGGCTGGGGAATGAGGTTTTTTTTTTTTTTTTTTTTAAGCCATTAATTCACAACTATTGCTAAAAAATGTGCACCGAAAGTGCACTGTTGTATTCAACAGATAGAAAGGATTTTTTTTTTTTTAAAAAAGCCGTTGCTCTCTGCATAAGGGAGACAGACTCGTTGGAAACGTGGCGTGTCTTTGCTCACTTCTTCAAAGTGCTGGAGGCAATGACCGCTCCACTTTCCAAAGGAGGCTGCCCAGCAGTGAGTGAACCCTGTCTCTACAGTTGTGCGGATCAGAGTATCTCAAACGGTTAGGTCCGGACCCAGGCCCATCAGCTGCCTCCAGCTGAACCTGTGAAGATGTAGAAAAGAAAAAAACCTTCCCCACCCCCTCCACAGTCCCTGCTATTATGGGGACAGGCCACACACAAGCTGGGGAGGCAACTGGACTGGAATAAACTGCCCTCTGAAGGCACTTGTGCTTCTGGCTTCACACAGGAGGCTTGTCTTACGTAGTTTTACGGGGGTGGACCATTGTTCTATTCCAAGTACAAATGACCTTGGGGAGAATCCAAAGTATTTTTTTTTTTTTTCTGCCAAAAATTGAAGTGTTTACCCCCAATAAGTTATATTCTGTACAAGATCCAAATGATTCTATGAAAGCTTTAGATTGTTAGAAAGAACAGTGAAAAGAAATCTGGATACAGGCACAACAACAACACAAACCTGCATATAAAACTGGAAAAAACAAACATGTATACTTCCAGGACATGAATATCAAATTAACTCATGATATCCTTTTACTCTGACACCAAAAATATTAGGTAGCATTTAAAAGAAGTTAGGATCTCATCACGGTCTTAAGTTTTGATGGTGTCATGCTGCTCACCCAGAGCAAGACCCTGTGGAGTCACCCGGTTTTGCCCGTAAAGAACACACAGTGGAGGAAGAAGTGAGAGAGCTGTGCCTCCTCGTGGCCACCGCGCAGTCCAGGCGTCTCAGCTGGGCACGGGCTGGGCGCTCTCTAGGCTGGCAGTCCAAGCGCTGTGACCCAGCACCTGGGGTTTCAACAGATCTGCCTACAACACATCTGAGATGCAGTATTAAAAACAAGCCCAACAGTAATTTATTATGAAATGGGCTGGCTCTTGAATTGTGCAACAGCCAATTCCTATTAAAAATAACTGTCTTAAATGGTGAAAACAACTTGTTTGTTTTTTTTTAATGACAAACTTGGAAAAAGCCTTCATAGGTGCTGCGTAGATGGAATGTACTCCTAGAAAAGCTCCCGAGTGTGGGATTGGAGTTGGAACACAGTGACAGACATGGCCCTACCACGTGTCTCTGACAAGTGCTAACAGATCAAGATAAGGTCCTTGGAAACAAAAGGAGGAAGCAAAATCTGTGCTGGCCTCTCATCAGTCCTCAGTACATCTCGCAACACACAGCCTGCTTGGGGCTCTTCTGCTCTGGCGCTCTGCCTCCCTGGGGGACAGCTTAATCTACACATGGAGACTGGTTTCTATATTACATCTTGATTAGTCACTTCAATGGAAAGATAATCTCGGTCCATACCAAATCAGTCGTTAGAAGTCTTGTTCCCACTGGGGCTCTGGGCTTCCTAGGACTACTCTTGGGGCCATAGAGGAAGGTCAGTAAATGAATACCCAGAAGTGCTGGCCCGCCCTTCACGTGGACTTCTGACGGTAATGGAGGGTGAGGTCACCACCGCTCTTCCATATGAAGTGTTTCACTGTTCGAAGGTCCATATTTGGATCCAAAACCTGAATAGCAAAAAATAAATAATAAAAAAGTATCCAGTATCTCAGGCTGTTATTGCTAATGCCGAGTTCTCCTTGCCCATGCTTGGTGGCCTGTTCTTGCTGCCTGCAGGCATGAATCTGGAGATGGAAGACGTGCAATTCATGTGGCTAGGGCAGACACGACACGTCCAGCCGTTCTGAAGAAATGCCTCAACTGGATCCTCACTTACAGCATTTGCACAGACGCTGCACTCACCTCCTCTTCAGACCTTTAACACAGCGGATGCTGCTCTGCACACCAAGATGAGCACGTGGCTTTCTTTTCAGATAAAAAAGCCACCAGCACATCCACATCTGTCTGCGTGTGCATTTCGATCTCCTTGTCCCCTTCCTGAAAACTGCCCCCTGGGTAAACGGAAGCTTTAGGGTGGGTTAATCGAGCCCTCCAAAAAGGGCCTCACAAATAGGTGGGAGACCCGGTGCTCCTTACAGTCTCTCTAAAAGCAGAGGCCCTCCCCTCAACCCCCGCAAGGCAACAGATTTGGAAACCACAATCCTACCACATTATGAAATTCTGAGCACCAGCATTGGAAAAAATGGGGTGGTGTCCTCAAGTCCATTTACCTGGTCCTGGCACAGAAGCTCAATTTTCTCCTCTGCCAACACAGCAATATCCTCCTCTTTTTCCTGTTCTCCTGGTTTTTCATTATTAGAAGAGCTAGTGGTTTGAGACTCATTATCCAAGTTGATGATTTTCTCATAGACGTGTTCCATTACTTTCCGGACTTGAAGCATATCACTAGCAGAAAGTCGGTCCCTGAAAAATGCAAGGGCAGATGGTGACATCAGGAAATCACTGGATATTCTCTCCCATATTCTTTGGTGATAGCATTTGATAAGGCTAAATCATACCACAAAAACATAAACCAATACATGTTCTTAGTCATTGCTTTCCATTTTTACAATTCCCAACAGATTTCTTACAGTGTCCTCTCCTAAGACAGATTATGTGCAAATAAGTGAGATTATATACATAAAGAATAGCCTTCTAGGTTCTATTCCCTTAAAGACCTTCCCAGAGCATGGGCAAACTGAATACTCCTGAAAGGGAAGGCAGCCCCTGGTGCTCATTAGGCTCCGATGATGGTTGTACACATTTCTCCCAGGGCTTCCTCCTATAGTCAAGACCTTGAGTTTCAACTGCCTGTCTGATCTCCAAACTCACCAACCCAACAGCTCTGGCTGATGCCCCAAAGGCATCGCAAACTCTACATGTCCAAAGCTAGATTCAGCAACTTCCTTATCCCCAAACCTATTTCTGTATCTCTGACATCAGTTAATAATGGTCAAATCAAATGGTTTAGGCTCATACTTTAAAAGCCATCTTGAACATCAATCATTAAATACTGCTGAAGTGCTATATAGAACTTGCTTTAAGATAATCCTGTGTCTGGTGTGAATGTGTGAGAGAGAGTGTGTGTGTGTGTGTAGGCAGGAGGATTCAGTGGGAGGGAGGAAAGATAGAGGTATAGATGACACAATGTTTAGCCATATGCTGACAATTACTTAAGCTGTTTGATGGGATAATGAGGTTCATTCTTCTATTCTTTTTTGTGTGTATGTTTGGAAATCTAACAGTATCTTATGTAAGCTCCTACTTTCACATCCCTGATCAAACCATTTTCTGGACCTGAAATATCTTTCTTTTGACCAATCTTACATGTCCAGCTCAAATTCCATGTCCTTCAAGAAACCTTTCTGGAAAGCTATAGTCACAGATTCATTTCTTTCCCCTACACTTTTCTTTCCCTGCTGCTGCTGCTAAGTCACTTCAGTCATGTCTGACTCTGTGCGACCCCACAGACGACAGCCCACCAGGCTCCCCCGTCCCTGGGATTCTCCAGGCAAGAGCACTGGAGTGGGTTGCCATTTCCTTCTCCAATGCATGAAAGTGAAGTCGCTCAGTCATGTCAGAATCTTAGCGACCCCATGGAGTGCAGCCCACCAGGCTCCTCTGTCCATGGGATTTTCCAGGTAAGAGTACTGGAGTGGGATGCCACTGTCTTCTCCGTTTCTTTCCCTAAGTATCCATAAAAGCAATTATACAGATTGTGTCCTAAACTATGAATATGGCAAGAAACAAAATCCATGTCTTATTTTGAACATCTGCAACTGGCCACAGTAGGTACTTTGTAAACGGTTAAATTATATAAAGTTTCAATATTATGAAATTAACCTAAGATCTAGTACTTGCCTCCTGTGCTATAAATATAATCATAACAAATAAAAAATATCTCTGGCAATTAATTAAATCCAACCCAGGGATCGAACCCAGGTCTCCTGCACTGCAGGTGGCTTCTTTACCAGCTGAGCCACCGGGGAAGCCCGAGAATACTGGAGTGGGGAGCCTCTCCCTCCTCCAGCGGATCTTCCTGACCCAGGAATCGAACCAGGCTCTCCTGCATTGCAAGTGGATTTTTTACCAGTTGAGCTACCAGGGGAGCCCATACTTTGTAAATGGTTAAATTATATAAACTTTCAGTATTATGAAGTTAGCCTAAGATCCAGTACTTGCCTCCTGTGCTATAAATGTAATCACAAGGAATAAAAAAATCTCTGGCAATTAAAGTATTGAATGACACTCCATTTACTTACTTTTTTAAGGTTTTTGCTCCTGAAGATGCATGAGGTTGGAGGTAGAAAGGAATTTTGTTGAATTTGGGCATATTTTTCTGAAATATTAAAAATGAAAAAAGGTAAAATAGTTTCTATTAGTTGATAAACTAAAATGATGTCAATAAGAAAACATGATTCACAAGTTAATGGCTATTGTACATTTAAAAGGGACTTTCTATGAAATTTAGAGTAGGCTATCAAAGTATGTCAGCCTTAGAGAAAGGGTATTAGAAAAGTATGTTTCATTTTGTAATAAAACATAAAGACAAATTATATGCAGTGTCAGTGGCAATATAAAATTGCAGCATGGCTCTTCTC